TTGGATGCATCTCGAGGAAATATTCAATATTTCAAACACAATGATGCTCAAGATTTACGTAATCTCTTAATGAAACAAGAGGAAATAGATAAAAGACATCTTAAAAAGGATGCGAAAGTCAGACGTTTTCTGATTATAGAGGGTATTTATATGAATACAGGGAACATCTGTCCTCTCCCAGAATTATTGGCTCTGTGTAAGGAGTACAAATTGAGAATCTTTATCGACGAGTCAATATCATTTGGTACCATCGGGCTACATGGAAGAGGTGTTACTGAATACTTTAACATTCCTATAAGTGAAATAGATATGATAATGGGTGAGGAGCAATTATTAAAGCCAAATATATATATATTGTTAATACATGAATGCATGTATAATAGTACGTATTTATATATATTATTGTATATATTTTTTAGGATCTTTAGAATGGGCTATAGGAACTATTGGTGGCTTTTGTGTAGGAGCCTCCTTTATTATTGATCATCAACGTTTGTCTGGTCTTGGCTACTGTTTCTCAGCGTCTCAACCACCTCTCTTGGCATCTGCTGCTATCACTTCTTTAAATATGATTGAAAATAATTTAGAAATATTGCAGTCTTTGAGAAATAATGCCTTAGCGATACATAATGGTCTCAAAGAAATCCTCATGTTAGAGTGCTCTAGTTTTGCAGAATCGCCTTTGAAGCATGTATATCTAAAGGAGCAGAAAGATCATGCCATAGAGGAGAAATTACTATCTGCAATTTCAAATAAATGTATAGAAAATAACTTGGCGATTATAGTGCCTGTCTATTTGGAAACTGAAATAATTTTACCCAGACCTAGTCTTAGACTTTGTATATCTGCTAGTCTGGATAACAGTGATATCAAGTTCGCACTAAATACTTTAAAGAAGTGTACAGAAGAAGTTTTGTTGTCATTTTGTGAATGAAATAAATGAAACTTGAAAAAGTTATATTTTAAGATATATTCAGCTTATATATCAGAAATGCATCTATTTATACATATCATATTCTGTGTATCAACACAAATATATTGATTCGTCCATGTAGCTTTTTTGTACGATGAAAATATAGTTATTAAAATAAAATAGAGCTTTAAAAACATTACTATATACTTATTTTTTTAATAACATTTCATAGAAAAATGACATCAAAATTTTATAAACTTGTTAAAGAATATTAAGAATATCCCTTCAGAGATTGTTGTTCACAATTGTGAAAAAATCTAAACGTGTATGATACAATAAAAATTCAAATTTATAAATAAATCAGTGTTAATAAATAAATATTTGAATATTGTAAAATAAATCTTTCTAAGCTATTTGACAATCAAATAGTTTAGAAAAATTCGCTGAACAACTTACATGAAGGAGCAGACTTTTAAAATGTTTTGTCCCAAAATTTATTCTTTTAGTTAGAGATGGCGTAATGTTTAGTGTTGAAAAACTTGTATAAACTACTCTGAGATATTCATTTTCTCATCTTTAATTTATATATTGAAAAAAACCTTTCAAACGATATTCGAATGCATTTATGTCCTTTAATTAGAGACAAATAAAATGCATTTAACATTTTTAGCAATTGTTTAGCAATTTGGTTAACATCTCACATGCTACTAATTAGCATATTGTTATTTTTTTAAAGCATTTTTTAAAGCAGTTTTCTTTCTCGTTTTCTGAAAATTATAAATTTTAAAAGTCTGCTCTTCATATAATTATATAAAAAAGCCTGTTATAATATAACGACAACAACTAATACTTGCAAACCGCTTTATTATTATAATAGATACAGATACGCCCTTATTAGTTGTCTCTCGTTTCGGGTTCTTCGTCGTATGCCGCCATGACCTTTTCCATAATTTCCCATAATTTATCCCTCGCTAAATCTTTGCAGAAAACCTGTAACAAAATAATTTACATATAAATCTATTAATATAAACTGATGTAGAGACATATAATACTCACATTGAACCATGGCTGTTGATCGCATTCATCCATCAAAGGTACAACTACGCCATAAATTTGCAATGACAAATTAATACAAGCTATTGCTATTAAATTCGGTGGATAATCAAGAATAGCTGGGGAATGATGAAAATCTTGCAGCAGTGCCATACTTGTTTTGGCAACAGGATACTTAGACCATTCCTCTTCGCCAAACCAAGCTTGCAAAGATCTTAGATAATGAAGCATGTACTGTAATAAAGTTTCATATAGTTATTAATATGGCATACATGCATATTAACATTATTAATAAAGTTAATAATATTTGCGATACCTTATGCGGATGTACAGGTGTAACCTGAAACTTGAGCATCCTCATGATTAAAAGTTCAGCTTGAACAATCGCATCTCTCATACTCCAATACTGATCTCCAAGATCAAGCGGCTGAGATCCTCTATGAAGTGTATTATAGGATACATTCATTACATCTCGTATTTTTAGCGTATCATCCTTTACTTTACCAGCCAGATAAAGACAAGTTGCAGCTAAAAGCTAAAAAAAGATAAAATTCGTCAAATTTATTCAAAACTTATCTAGAATCTCGAAATAATTATATTATAACCCATTTTTACATAATTATCATATCCCTGTGGTGTCGCTTCTTTAATAAATCTATGATATAGCGTAGCAGCGGTAGCTATTGTCAATGGATGAGCTTCCAATTTCAAACCTACAATCGAACAAGTATTTTATAAAAAAAATCATATTTTATAGATAACTTTCTATGATAAATTATTGTTATAACATACCGCATTCGAAGATAAATCGTGAAACCGTAAAGCTGTCATTAGACTTGGTATAATCGATTGTAATGCTTTTTTGTAATGTATTCCTTTTCTCACGTTGCATTGCAAGAACATCGATCACATCTTTCATCTTCGAGCTAAAAAAGTGCAAAAAAATGCATTAAGAATCGATTGTTCCATCTTCGGATAAACTATGTGGTAATCTACCTACTGAATAAACAAAAGAATAAAAGTAAAAGCATAAGAGATTAAGAGTGTAAGACAGTGAACTGAAGTTAACCGAAAGATGAAGCAACCTAGTCTAAATATATAAAAGAAAAAAAGAAAGAAACATGGCTCGATATACAACAAACGATATAGAACAAACTTCAAGAATAATGAGTGCCAGAATTATGTCAGAATAGCGTTGAGAAAATATTGAAAAGCGTTTGATCTGTCAAGAGTAAACTGACGTATAACCTTATCTCAGTGTCATCCAATGTGAACTCATTGTACCTGAGAGTTTCAGTGCCGGTTGGCTCTGAGGGATTCATCGCGGATATACTTGTCTTCGCAGAAAAGCTCTCGTTTAAAAATTGTATAAGCGCGCTAGTAAAAAAACTTCAGTTTCCAACTCACTCAGGTACAAGAGATCCCGCAAGAAACCTGAGAGCGGCCATACCGCCATGCCGGCTTTTTCATATGACGCGCAAAAACTAGCAAAAATCTACCCGTATATTAGCGGCATCAACGTCATTTTCTACAAAATGATGTGAACTACGTATCACATTATTAACAACCGTTGATAAAGTCGTATTATCGAAAATTGAATTTTAAAAAGAAAATGTTATATTTTAATGATACAATTGAAGAAAATTTGAAAAAAAATTTTGTTCTCTCCGTACACGTCATCAAAGTTGAAATTTATTTTTCAATTCTTTGAGATTTATTTTAAAATAATGTTATCTATAGAGAGAGAATGAAATCGTTCCAGAGACAGGAGCATGAGGTTTCAAGTTCGGATAAATGTGAGATTGGACAGAAGCAAGATTGGACAAAAGGAAGATTGGACAGATGGAAGATTGAACAGATGGAAGAATGGCCATCGATTGTGGATTTTGAAAGGAGGTGAAAATTAGAAAAGAGAGCAAAGGTTACTAGGTATTAACCAATTAAATTATGAATACTCTAGTGAATTTGCTCACTTTTGTAATTTTCATCTCATTTGAAGATACACAATCGATTCCCAGGGCACCAACAAGATACTATTAAAGACTCTCGGCGCTTATGAAAATTCGCGTGCCTGTTAACATTTAAGTGATTAATGCCTATTTCCACCAACGTAGTTCTTATTCTTCCAAAGATTAGAAAAAGACAAAGAGTAAATTGAATCTAAATTAAAGTTAATCTACGTTGGTAGAAATGGGGATAAGAATAATGAACTAGTAATACGATATTAATTTCATAATTTATTAGTTTTTATTAAACATATACATATATTTAAAACTTAATATTCGATTTTTATTTAAAACTATGATTTTAATGATATCATCCGAGTTTAATTATTAATAGAGATGATAACTGCAGAGAAAAAAATTGTAATTTTTCAGCAATATATAAGATATTATATCATTAAAAATATAAGCTTAAAACTGGTTCTACATTAGTTGCAAGCTGATTGCAAGTTTGTTACGACAGCCAATCTAAAACTTGCATTTTGAAATCAACGTTTCATATTGGCTGTCGCAACAAACTTGCGATTAGCGTGCAATTAATATACAATAGAACCGACTTTAGTTGCAAGTCGATCGCAAGTTTGTTGCAATAGCCAATTAGAAACTTGCATTTTGAAATCAACGCTTCATATTGGGTGCTTTCCATTTGATGATACAAGTTGACACAAGCGTCATTCTATCCTTATTGATATTTGAAGAGTGACAAAGATAGGGGCACAATAAAAGGAACAGGAAACAGAGAACAGAGAATAAGAATTTCCTATCAGAAATCATGTATTGTGGAATACACAGTTTCTGATAGGTTGAAATTCTTATTCTTTCTCCATAGAACGACATTTGTGTCGACTTGTGTCATCAAATGAAAAGCACCCATTGCTTTATGCGTGCAACAGATGCAGCCTATATCGCAACCTCTGCATCGCAACTCGCGACTGCTTACAGCGCCACCTTAACGGCGACCTGATTGGGACCATAAATATTCGCCCCCCCCCATGTGACTTGGGCACAGTATATACTTGGATCTCCTTTTAGACAATCTGAACTTCATACGTTGTCTGTTCACAAGCGCGTTGCGCGAGTCCAGTTGGCGTCCATCTCATCATCGTTCGTCTCGTAGGTTATGTCGCGTTGATAGCGCGCGTTAAAATTGCGATTGCGTTAAAATCTGTAAAATCACACGCGAATCTGTTTCAATCTATGACTCCGTGAGCGAGAAATTAAACAGATCGTAGAATCGCACGGCATTCTGTCCTCCATCATTAAAAAGATCGGGTGAACACCCTCGAGAATCTCCGCTTATTGCGTTGCTTTTTGCTAACATTGAAATTCCGGAGATTCTCGCCTTTGCTTTCTTCGCGGTGAACGTGACGTAAGGAGAAGAGAAAGAAAGAAGGAAAGGGAGATAGAGAGAAAAAAGCCGCGTCCAAATCGACGCCCGACAGGATAAATACGACGTGGAGGAAAAGAAGTAAGTAACTACGAGATGTCGGCGTCTCCTATTGCCAGACAGGCCACCCAGAGCCAGAGCATACCATCTAAGAGGATCGTCATTCATGATCCCAACCAGTTACCAGTCGATTACTCATCCACTCCCGGAGGCACGCTCTATTCCACGACGCCGGGAGGTCAGTATATCCATCTTTCTCAACTCTTCCATCTCCTTAACTCGCCCGCATTTCCGAGATATCTAAGCTACAATCTATATTCCCAAGTTGTCAACGGCTCCCTGTAAAACTTACGGAAAATACGTATTTAGACTAGTATTTGTAGTCTATTCTTGAATACAGATAATAGAATACAGATTTTAGTTAGGACTAATTAACGACTGGCAGCCCTATCGATTGAATTTTAGGATTTTAAAGTTAAGACCGAAACATAAACCAAGGGATAGGAAGTCTTGAGATTATAAGCCAAGAGAGCTGTATTAGCATCTTAAGACAGTCTCAAAATAAGAACGGACTATGAATATCTCCCTTACAATTGCTAAGACACACATTTAACTGCTCAATTAATAATAGCGATTGACGGATAAATATCAGACGAAATAAAAAAAATTCTTTTATAGAACTATTATCCATCTCCGGAATTCGTCAAAATAAAAGAAAAAAAGCCCGAATTTTATCACGAGGATCTTGCGATCTCCTCGGTATTGTACGCGAAGTCATTTACCATTTCACTAAACAATATGCGCACACGTGCAAGGCGCCGTCAAGGCCATTGATATTTACGCATAACGCGATCGTATCTTTCTCTTTCTCCCCGCATATACGTATGTACATACGTATACGCGTAAATGCGTCCCGATAACAAACTGTTACGTAATACCCGGTTCGACGCGGGTCTACTTCGTCGCCCGTTTGCATGGAAAATATCCAACACTTTTGTGCCGCATACGCGAAATTATATCCTATTGAACTGGTTAATTATCAGCTCTGGATAATGCGCAACCTTGACGTTAATCCATAACCGACACGCAGAGCGACGACCAGCAGATAATTTTTAGATCAAGAACTTCTGGATACTTTGGTGACACAATTTGACAAAAATGTTGTTATATCTTTGTTACTCACTGAATGTTGAGGAAAAAAAATAAAGCTTGTGTCGATTTGTATTACTAAATGAAAAGTGTCCTCTAATAACCTTTGAATATTTCCTCTGTCAAATAATTAATATATCATGTTAAAATATATTATATAATTTTATTATATTTATTATATTTATTATAATGTATTACATATTAATGTGTACGTTATAATTTATGTGTACGTTATATTTATTTTGTATATATCATAATATATTGTACATTGATATATTAATTTATTAATATTTCATTTAAATATCTTATGAATGAATAGTTTATTTACTTGAGTTCATTTTCAAGGACTTGGTTTAAAAATGTCTTCTACACATTCATCCACACCTTATAAATTAAAGGTTAACTAGAATTTTTGATTAGCATATCTACATTGGTTTACGCACTTTCCAGATTATATATATGTATAGCTTATCTATCTACGGCAATCTTTACGACTTGTATCATATCAACATTATTTACAATGTTTAACATTATTTACAATTATAATCACATTGTTATTTTATTACAAAATTCACATAATATAAATATTTTATAATTATATTAATAAGTTCCCATAAATTATAATTACATATGTTATGAGAAAAGATAACATGTTAATTATCTGTATGTAAAATCATAGAATTTAATTTTCTCTTTTTTTTAATGTTTTCTTCAAATCCACATTAATGTTTTTAGCTATCACTCTCAAATAATTCGAATTTTTATTTCCTGAAAGGAAAAAAGAGAAAAAGAATAAAATTAAATTTGAACAAAACTAAAAAATAGAAAGATTTTTTTCTCTCAAGGAGAAAGTGATTTATTAAAGTAATAGAGATAAAACGAACGTGATTCAAATGACGAAGTCACAGATCCCCGTGCTACTTCTTGAAGGGTTAAATTTATTAAGGCTGAAGTTCAGATCGCCGGACTCGACATTGAACGGATAACATTAAATGTTGGTTCTACTTATTGCGTTTTTAGCGAACGATAGAAGGATAACTTATCGCGTTAATGTTTACACTTCTTTATATGCGCATCACTTTGATCGCAAGCCGCGAAGTAAATACGTCCGTTATAAAAAAATGCGGATTGAAATTATACTGAGTGTCCTGTCATTTCTTTCGGTTTGTGGATTTTTTCGCAAATTTCGAACGGGTTTTTTCCACATGCACGTTAGCTTCCAGAACGATGAGTAATACCACTTTTAGTTATTAATCATATTGACAACTGCAGTTCACTTATCAGATAATGTTTCAAGTGGTCTTTAACAAAACCTTGTTCTTGAGGATCGAAGCATCTAACAGCAAAAATTAAAAAAAAATTGTACAAAAGATTGCACCATTAAATTTTTAATACGATTGAATGAGTTTGAATGATTTATTATTTGATCTAAAAAATTGTCAAACGAGTGAAATGACTTTTAAAAATGATATATTATTGTTGGATATCCCTACTGACAATTCTACTCTATTTATCTTACTCTCAACAAAGAGTTCGATTGTTGATATAACAATCAATATAACAATATTATTCTTTTTCTTAAGTCTATATTACGAAAATCGTAATCTAATCTATCCGCAGATGTTTATATGTTAATATTTTTATTTGTAATGATAAATCGTTCTCTCCGAGATCGAATCTGTTTGATTTATACGTATCTAATTAGAGCAATCGACATATCCCAAATAAAATAACATTTTGTAGATTTACAATACAATAAATATTATAAATGTACAATATGAAAGTATCGATAAAATGATCACTTTTCCGATCCCATTTTTTAGATTTCTCAAAAAAAAATTTCAGTTTCCAGTTTGAATTAAAAATATTCAGACATGAAAATCATATAAATAAAAAATCTAATTGAGATATATTAATAGTAAATAATTCACGAGTGGCGGTGTGTGACAAGCAGTTAGCTGCTTCTCTTCTTTTTCTTTTAACATGACGCAAGCGAAACTCGGTAGCGAGATAATGGGCGAATTCTCAAACCAGGTGAGTGAAGTCAGGTCACATGCACTTGGGACGTTGTTGTTCCTTGCCCCGCAATGTTTCCTGGGGCGTTAAACAGTCAAGGCCGAATTAATGCGTGCGTGCGATACATACCAACGTCGCCTGATGCGTAATCGGTGACGCGTGTAATGTTTATCGCGCCACGCCAGCGCGGCGCGCAGAAAGTCATGGCGATCTGAAAAACAAGGGTACAAACAGCGTGAAAACGACTGGACCTTCAAGATAACTTTAGCCGCGACAGTGAGCGCGCTTCGTAAATCTCACGTAAAATCTCAATACGTAAACAATGACAATTCAGTCAATAGACAGCCGCTTCGCAGATGAACACGTGTTCTTATCGAACCGTTGTGAAACTGTGATGAATTCCTTCTTTATTATTACTATTATTGTTCAGGTTGATGAACGATTTGGCCGAATAAGAGAGAAAGACGCTACTCATTCGAGGAAAATTGATTATTGACTCACATGGTTTCTGATCTAGTCGAATGATATTCCAAGTTAATAGAACAATCTTCTTCTCTGTAGATATTTATTATGTTTGTTATTAAAAGAGATGTGGATATTTATACATTATGTTCGTTGATTGGAAGAGAATTTTGTCAAATAAATTTTAATCAAGCTTCTTTAAAAAAGATATAAATTTATTTCACCTTGTGCTAAAAAAAAAACGAATCAGTTAGGTAAAAAAAAAAGAGATGAGACTCGTGTTACGCGAATTAAAACGGACGTGACTTACACAAAGAAATTCTAACATCTCTGGGTTGACTTTATATCGCACTATCTTTGCTTTCTGCGATTATGTTTGTTTTGGCATCCTCGCCGACTCTTGCACTCCTTTCAAGTTAGGTAGAGTCCGTACAGAAATACACTTGTATAAATAGGCAGCGTGCATCGCTTTTCGTGTAACTGTCGGGCCATTGTGTCGTTTCTGCGTGTTATCCTTAATCGTTATCCCATTATACAAATTCTTTTTTTGAACTTCGGCCCATTATTCCATTCTATTGTAGTTAAATCTTATTTGCACTTTTCTGACTAAAAAAATTTATTATCTGTAACATAAAAATTCACTGAAATCTCTTCTGTCGACTCTACTCAGCAACCATAAAGTTACAATTATGTCAAATTTGCGATAAAACCAATTTTAATTTTGCTTAACATTAATATTGTAGTCTTATCAGATAATTCTTAATCACAAAAATTACAGCTTCAAATATAACTTGTATATAAAAATACAAATTGCGTCGCAAGAAATATCAAGTATTTTGTATGTGTGCGCGCGCGCACATACACAAATACACTATATATATAGAACCATTCACTCAAATTTAATATTCAAGAATATTTTATAATGAAAATTTAATATATACCTAAAAGTTGAAGCTTCATTATAATAACAGATTTTATTGCTAATTAAATCTTCGAACCTTGTGCAGGTACTCGCATCGTGTACGAACGTGCGTTTTTAATGAATTTGCGAAACTCTCCAATATCACGAACGCCACCACGCAACCCGCTGACTATACCGTCTGAATTACTGAAGGGGAACACTCCGGTCATCACGAAAGATCCCGCAAAAAATACTAATAAAGGTCAGTCTGCTTATTTAAATCAATTGTTCTCGTGCGATTTCTGCTTTTCTTACTAAAAAATATAGGCTGAATGAATAATGCATTATTAAGGAAATATTTTATATTATTATTTTGTATTGACGATACATAATAATAATTGCATTAGAGAACTTTCCTCACTTTTGTTTGACGTTACAGACTCTCTGATGATCGAGGAATCCGCGGAGCAATTTGAAATGGATATGTGAGACAAATGCAACATGCTGTTGTTTATGACGATTGAAATGTGTTCGTAGCCATGCTCAAGAATATTGTCAATCAGTTTTATGACAATCGCACAGAGTTGAGAGTACATGGCTAATACGCTTTAATCCTGTGCCTTTTACCAGTGGTCTTAAGAATTGTGAATCTTATAAAAAGATTTTCTCCTTGACGAAAGGCCATATCTTATTCACATACATATATTGTATATTGTATACAAATCATTTTATTCTCGACGCTTGTTCTTGACCAATGTTATACGCGTATACTTGCATATAAAGAACGGCCGTGAATGTAAAGGTGCTAATGTTTATAAAACATTAGCGTCTAGTGTCTTCCTTTTAAAAATGGCCAAAGCGATGCTTTGTAACGTGTTTTGTAAGGAACTTGTATCTGTGAATAAATGATACATACATTTTATACATCCATACATTTTACTTTGTTATTATTATATACATCGTACAAAAATAATTAACAAAAATAATTATAGACTTCCAGTATATTAAGATTTCTTTAATATATGCCTATATATATATTTAATATGCCTATTAAGCATCAAAAATTTAATTGTGATATTATTTCAATAATTTAGCTCTCTGAATTTTCAAATTCGATAAAATTTTCGACGCACAGTACAAAATGACTACAAATTGGTATATATATATAATTCACATTGATTTAAGATCCAGTTTCGACCGTTATGAGCCTTTAATTCTTATTTTTTATTGATTATGTTCTCACATGTACAGTCCAATAAGATTCTTGTTTAAATATAATTAAGTACTATTTGAAAATTATATTGAACAACAAGTATTGTAACTTCATTTTTTAGCAAAAATATCTAATGACAATTCGAGGATAATCAAGTCACGTACATACAAAAAAAGTTGCATAATAAAAAGTTTTATGTAATAAAACGAAATTTTTTTTCCATTTTAAAATTAAAATTTAAAAGAATTACTTAAATTATTTAAAATTAAAAGAATCAGATCAAGTGTTAAGCTCGCGCTTAGATATAATATCAAACTGTCGTAATACTTTAAAAATCTTTGAAAAAAAGAGTTTAAAAAAAAAGAAAACTTTATAGTCACAATACTTTTTACTACTGCTTTTGTAGTAAATTAATTGCATTAAAGATCGTTATACATAAAGTTAATTCTAAGTAAATACTAAGTAATAGTACCTAATATAAAATTCTTTCGAAAAATACTGGATATTTCAAATAGTGCTTACATTATATTGTTTTGCACTGTAGATAAATATTGGATTAATTTATAACAGTTTTTAAACTGTATACATAAATGTAGAATAGAGCACAAACATTGACATAATACATTATCAGATATAAAATTTATCACAATTTCATCTACGTTGCCTAATTTCTTTCAAAAAATTTCTGTTTATGCAAAATTTGTTATTTTTGATATTCTTTCTAAAAGTATTGTTGCAACGTTAATTTTGTTTCCTTGCGCGTCGAAATCATCATAATAAATTAATTCACACAAATCTCTGGTTTCTGGGTTACTTTGTAAAATTTCTTGTAGTTTAGTATAAAATTTCTCGATAATCTTAGATTTATATTGTTTATATATAGCAGATTCAGGATGATTGTGTTTCTGTACTTCGTAGTATGTTAACAAAGGTGTCGCACCTTCCACCACTATATATATCGGTTTATTACCCAACTTTCTTCCTCCAGGATATATCTTGTAGGCATTATTGCGATACGTCCTACCTATATTCCCAGCCCGGTTACGTTTTTCCTCCTCTAGCTCGTGTATATTTTCCATCCACTGACAGGATGCTTCTTTTAAGTCTGGTGGGATGTATCCAGAAGATGGTATTAAAAGAAATAACTTGTGTACTGGAAATGTCACATTGTGATAGTCCTCGAAGTTTTCGATTTTCTCGATTATGCCCTTCTTCCCGGTTTCACTGGATGGTAGAGTAAGCCGCAGATAGCCATAGTAGAAATTATACGCCATACCCGTGCCATAATCCAGACCCTTCATAATATTGAGATCAGACAGCGATCCTGTCTCCCATTCAGCCAAGTTACTCATCCTGACTAGGCAGAAGGAAAATATCATCAGTGGCACGCACATGTACGGCCCGAAATCCCAGGCGTATCTCAAAGGGCACCCACGAATGGTGATGCTCAAGCCCAGAAACAGCAATGCGGCAATGATGATGATTGTCGCCGACAAGGTATTCAGAGAGAAGTGATACTTCGCTACTGACCAGAAGCTCTCCTCGGAATGCTGATTCACGTTAGTGGTGAACGAGATCAACGTCTGGCACAGACGTAGTGTCACGTCGCAAAGCAGAAAGATCACGAGGAAGACGGATGCGACGAAGGTGGTCGCGATCACCGACACAATCGTCCTGTCCTTTGTCGTCTTGAACGCGGCGAAGGCGAAAAAACCGAGGAGGATGACGCTGTACGCCAAATAGGTCTTCAGTTTATGATCGGCCGTCGAATACTTCTCGCTTTCCATCCTCTTCGAAATGTAGTCACTCAATCAAGCTAGATCCGTCCAAATTCGGCCTGCAGGAAACAACCGAATCACTGTGCTGCGATAAACTTCAGAGAAACGTGACACAGCTGCGTCAAGTATCGAATGTGACACACCCTTCCTTCTGCGAATTCTACATATCGAAATAGAACAGGAAAGGTGCTTAAAGGTTTATCCAAATGGACTTGCATAATCATGTATAACGTACCGTAAAAAAGCCGATCAATCTTGCGTGTCCAACGTTACGTTGCTAAACTTCATATCCATTTTATATTGTAATGCGTAATTAGTCGACTTCTTTTCCTATGTATCAGCTTACATCGATCACTCGGCTAAAGGAGTAACTTTTTTTTATCTTATTTACGTAATTGGTGAACATGAGGAATGAGTAATCAATGTTATATCATGTGCCATTGTAAATATTTATAGTTTACGATTTAGTAAACAGTACATTCCTTAATTGGAATACAATATTTGTTTATATCGTATAGTTTGATAGACTTTTTATAGTTTGAGTGACTTTTTAAGAAATTGTGTTAAAAAATAAATCGAATTTTGATTTAAAAAAATTTTATAAAGAATCGCTGACATTATTAAACTGTGTATATATTTCGAATTTTCTGACTTAAAATTTTGATTCCATCGAAGATATTTGATTCTCATGTCACATATATTGAATTCTATCAAAGAGATTTCTACACATACTATGAATTTCCAAGAGCACGGATAACACAATAAAAACGGATAAATTCTTTTTAGTCTAACTTCTTATAGTTTTTTTTTCTTTTTTTTCTGTCTCCGCAACATGAAACGAAAAAGAGAAAAGATGAACCGTGCAAGTTCAGCTAAAAAGAAATTTAGTGAATCGTTACATTTTTATTATTTATCAAAACAATTGTTGAACAAAGATGAAATGATCACTATGTTACACTATATTACTTTGTAAATATAGCGATCATATTATCTTTAGTTCGTCTTTCTTCCTTTTCTCTCCAGGAGGAAAGAAGAAGATAAAATGATGCAAAAGTTCAGCCAAAAGAACAGGCCTTTTGTTTAATATTGGTAAACAACAAGAATGTAATAATTCATTGAATCATACTGTGTCATTTGTATCGCTTGTTAAACCGGTTCTATATTAGTTGCAAGCTGATCGCAATTTGTTGCGACAGCCAATATGAAGTGTTGATTTCAAAATACAAGTTTCAGATTGGCTGTCGCACAAACTTGCAATTAATGTAGAACCGACTTTAGAAGGAATACTTTTATCTCTTGCTGGAAAGAGCAAAATATGACGCCCTTTATATTTTAAATTAGCCGTATTTCCAAAACATCTAATATTTATTTACTAAATAAGAATCACACAAATACGAATGTCCTTAACGTTGTTTTGTATACCTACAATTCCTATTAAGAATCGTTAGCTTTACTTTACGCCAATAATCTTTCAAGCGACTGCAAATTAATACGAACTATAACAGCAACTGATAACGACTGAGCCGCTGCACAAACTGCATTCTGCAAAACAGTGCAAGCGGCTGAACAGGCATGACAGAACGCGTCCATGCGACCCGAGGTTGAACTAATTAACTCTCGACGTCGATGAGTGTTTTTGGCGGGAAGGCGTTCGCTCATAACCCTTCATTTCCGGTGAACGGGGGAAAAGCGTGACCGAGATAAAGGCGCGAGAAAGCGCGATTCCGTTTTTTCCCCCGATCGTGTCGGTTGATCTCGCGTCGCACCTGGTCACACCTGCCGGTGAACTCTTCTCGCGATTTCGTAATCGCGAGACCCGAGACGACAAGCGATCGTCCTGTAACGGTTCTCAAGCTGGCGGCACAGCTGCGCCGGCTACGCTATCCTCTTTCCGAGGGCGCACGAGAGAGGAAGCCACTCGGTAACGCGCGCCAGAGAAAGAAAGAGAGAACAGGAGATAGCGTTGGACGGGGGTGAGTGGGCCGGGAGGGGAGGAAATGGAGGGGAGAGCGCGTGTTGCCAGGTCGCGCGCGCGGAGCGCTGTTAACGCGAGTGAAACGAGCTGATGGACCGACCGCAGCACGGTCGGGAGACATCTACGATCGATAAAGGCTCGTAGAGAAAGCCCGAAATCGCGAGAGGGAGAGAGGAAGAGAGATAAATAAAGACAGAGAGAGAGAGAGAGAGAGAAAGAAAGACAGATCGGCCGACAAGCGAGCGATCGGCACGCTTTTGTACGAGGTGATAAACGCCTTGGCGATTTTTCGCGACGCAGGCAAGACAGCCGCGACGACGACGACGTCGACGACGGCGACGACGGCGGTAGTAGTGGTGGTGGTGATAGTAGTGGTGGTGGTGCGCGGCGCCGCGCGATTAATACAATCGGCAGGTGATTTCTCGTCGCCGTGAGACCTCGAGTCTGTCCACAGACGAATGACAACAAAAGAGACTGATAGAAGTCGCGCGCGCGAGAGAGCGAGCCCGAGTTTTTTCGCACGCGAGTGTGTTACCCCCGCGCGCAGCCGAGGAGGCCCAGTATATCCGCCGTCGCGGCCGCTTTTTTTCCGTTTACCCCCCGTAGCGCGCCGCGAGTAACGTCGCTTAGCCTGGTGGTGGTGAAAGGTGTCGTGAGGAATATGAAGAGGAGAAATGTCGAGTGCGGTAAGCTTCGGAGGCCCTTGAAACGCAACAAGCTCACCGAAGGGATCTACG